CTTTGCTTTTTCCACAAAAACGAATTCTAGCTTGCCTTCCGGAGACCTGCCGCCGAGGCCTGGTTGGAAGTAAACAATTTGCATCTTAGCGATTATAATCTAAATACCTTCTTTAAATTCCTAATGTTTTGTAGATGGACGTATGGACATTAGTAGCATGTTTTATAATTATCGTGCCCGACTCTACATTGCTACTATAAGTTTCGCGCGATGAAAATCCGGACCGTAGAACCTAAACACTTTTATGTTTTTAGGCTTACTTTTTCAATTACATCTTTTGCTAGTTGACGGATGTTGTCTCCCAAAATATTTAATTTGAAAAAAAAAGATATTATTTATTAAAAAAGATATTATTAAAAAGATATTATTGATCAGTATCACTAATATCAGATTCCCAAGCGCCCTTTTGGGTTGCACGATATCCATTTCTCCTCAAACGCCACATTCAACAATCTTTCTTGAACCCCAATGTGAACCCATCAATCCCTCAGCCAGTCACATTAGCGCAAGCGGCAATGTGTTGCTCAAAAAGTGCTCGGTTGAGCCGCAGATCATGGCCGCTCGTCCGTAATCTCGAGCGTAAATCACGTTTAGAAGTTGGAAACTTCCATATCCTAGCAGTGATGCGTCTGACGACGAAATGGACATCGATCAGGCGGATTTATCCCAGGGGATTTTATTTTCGCCGAGGGCACAACTCTCAAGCAGCAGTCATAAAACCTCTACAACATCGAGCACATCTGCCACTCTGACAAGCGAATTTGAGAGGATAAAAGTGAGAGATTTCGGGCTACCCTTGGAAGAGGTACAACCATTTATTTCAAGAATATTTTAGCCACACATCCCAAGAGAGTTCTCGTCTAAACATTAGCACACATCGAGGACATCACATACATTATGAATATCCCAAAGCACTCATTCATAAGCGATCACATTCCGACAGGAGCGCAAGTAGCACGAGAAAGGCGACATATGACAAGAGTCCTCATAGTGATAACTTAGGAATAGCTTCACTACTTCCCTTCTTTTTACTTTGAGCGCCCAATAAACTGCAAATCTTTCTCAAGCGGATAGTTTCGCTTTAGATGTGGTTAGCTGATTGCCTATTCAATAAAAGCAAAAACATAGACGCTAAAACATGGCCTAGCTCAAATTGGAGGACAAAAGGAAGATGTTTTCAAAGCAGAGTGAAACTGCGGGGAGAAAACTATCTACCGCTTAAGCCCCGATCTCGCGGACAAGTACACCATATTTATATTTTTCAAATAATGTGAAAAGCTGATTTCATATAAGTAATTTCAATCTGTTCGTTGGCTTACTCTGAAGTTCTTCATTCTATTCTAATATTCCACTACCTATTATTAGTAAAGAGGATATAAATTTGAAAAAGTCACAAGAATACGAGCGCTGGGCCGATTGACGGTATCTCTCCCGAAACTTATATGTTGATATAATTCAATAATTTATGCATTTTTAGCTATTACTA